CAGAGAACTGAGTGAAGGAGCTCCATGCCTGACTTGCTTTTAAGAGAATGTAGGAAGCTGGTGGGTGGCAAAGAGCTCCATTAGTTTCTCCCTAGAGTCAGCCTGTAAGCACTGGCTGACTGTACAGACAGTACAGAGACAGGCTGTGGCTATGCCATGTTATTCACAAGACCTTGATCTCCTGGACCCAGCAAAACCTGCTCTGGCCTGACCCAGAGCTTGCTTCTGCTCTGTCCACCCCTACATGCTGTTCTAACTTGGCAGAGTTCTCTGGTGCATTTTAACTCCATATGCAATGGAGTGACATCTCCATTCTGAAGTCTTGCTGTATGTTGACTTGCTTTGATGGTACTCCTTCCTTGCTTTTAAAGGCTTTTCGTTCATCATGTCTTCTAATAATTAAATACTTTTATAGTTTAAACCAATGCTCAGTAGAAATAGAAATATAATGCAAGTCTCAAACACAAGCTGCATATGTAATTTTAAATTTTCTGTTAGACACAATGAAAAAAGGTAAAAAACAAGTCGTATTAATAATATAGTTTTAAAACTCAGTATTCAAAATATCATTTGAACATGATATGAATTAATATTTCAAGATTAATAATATTCACATTCTTAGTGAGATATTTTACATTTTTTCCCTACTAAATCTTTAAAATTGTATTCTGCATTTACATCCATCTCGATTAGGACTAGCGACATTTCCACTGCTCCATAGCTGCCAGTGGCTAGTGGTACCAATTGGACAACACAGTTTTAAACTCCGCTCATTTTCCAGTTATAACGCATAGGTCCACTGCATTCATTCCAATTTCCAGAAAGGAAGACTATTGTGATTGAAATGATGATGAGCAATATTACTGCTAGATGACCTACTTTCCTTGAGCACTCGGTATTTGTAAGAAAACTACACTTCTTTTTATCCTTAACTATTCATTCAAGTTGCCCTTGAATGGGTTTTAAAAAAAAATGAAAGCAGCAAGCCATCTTTCTTAAAAGTTAGTCCAACTTGTTTTCAGCTTAAAATGGAAATGGCCATTTGGGAATGGTCATACTGGGAATAGCCTTAAAATTTAAAGTATAGTAGACAAAACCCCATTAATCTACCTGTGGTTAAGATGTTAGCTGCCATTTTTCTTTATTACTTTATCTGTGGAATGTCCTCAGTGTTTTAAGTATAAAATGTGTTCAGAAATAGATGGATAGATTATGCAACAAACATGAGACCAGCTTCCCCCACCCACATACTCACACATAACCTGCTTCCTGCTTTTTTTCATTTGCACCTTTCTGATATATTTTTCTGTATATATACATGTTCACTATTATGTAATAGTTTTATATCATTATAACATTATTTAGAGGACTCATGATAATAATTTTTGTCCTGATATATTGAAATATATTAATACTATAAGATGTATGCTTTATTCCTCAGTAAGATTTCTCTTTGATTTCTATTTATTATGTTTCTGACTTCATGAAGTGCAAGAAAACTTTGCCCCCAAAAATGTTTCATGAACTCAATTAGATGCCGCCTAATGTATATATGTATGTATTTCCCCCACCCAAAAATAAGCTCTTTGCTCACAGGCACCTGTCATGTCTATTTCATCTTCATGCCTCAGGAAACATTCAGTCCAGAGTAGAACATACATTAAATTTTCACTGTTAGCTGAATAATCGGCACCTACAGATTCCTATAGCTTGGCTTTGGCACTCAGACTTGTACAGTGGTTCATCTTTTTTATTCTTTTCACAGAACCTGGGAAACTAAGTGTGGACAATAACAGAATGCTCTGTAATCCCTTAATCTAACTTGGAGTATGTGTTCCTTGATATAACTATTATGGAAGTAAAATGCTATCAACCATTTTTTCCTCTAGCTTTATTCATTTTTCAGCTGTAACATTTATGAATACCTATTTAAATTATGAACAGATGAGAAATTAATCTTACATGTGGAAAATTTAAAACTGAACAATAGTTAGCTCTCATTTGTGCTTATTAAAATAGCCACAAAAATAATTAAAATTGTGATATCCAAGCTGTTGTGAAAAACAATTGTTGTAAAAAGTTGTGAAAAAGTAACACAGAGTGGATGCCTATAAAAGCAATGCCTATAAATTTTTTTAAATTGCCTATAAAAGCAAATAAAACTCAGAGCCCTTTTAGAAAGCAATTTAGAAATATGCTGTTAGTGCCATAAAATGTTTCCATTGACTAATAAATTCAGATAATTTATCAAATTAAATTATTTGACAGAAAAATATGAATATATTTACAGAGGTGTTTATTTTAGTTTATCTTTAATAGTAAAAATTGGAAGAACTCGAGTATTCAACAATGTGGGACTGATTAAACAAATGATCACACCTGACTTTGATAGATGGTTAAACTATTCACAAGGCAGTATTCATAAATACTGTGTGAAAACAAATGAGTGATATAAAGATTTTAAAAATCAGAACATCACGCTATGCAATATGCTTACGATTGCCTGAAAATATGTAAGCGTAAATAACAAAGACCAGAAGGAGACAGGACAAAATGAAAACAATTATTATAGAGTGATGGAATTACAGGTAAAATTTTTCGTGGCCTTTTATGTTAAAGATTAACAATATATATTATCAAAGAAAAAAGAGATTAAGCTTTAGTCCCTCAATGTTCATATATTAAGGAGAATGTTATGCAGATACCTAAGCAACATTTCTCTTCCTTGCTTTGAAATCTCAGCATGAATTTTGTCCGGTTCCAGGGGCTTAACCATGTTTTAAAAAAATAACTCTGGCTACCATGGTTATTCTTTGAAAGTCTAAACAAAGTTTGCATTGTTTCCTGGCGGCATCTCTTATTTGCATTAAACCATGAGTTATGATATTAGTGCTTCCTGTTGTGGATTATTTGAAGCAAGCAGACTCCAGAGCTCTTTTTCTGGTTGTACAGTAAATGCTAGTCCTCTTTCAGGGTGTATTCTGTTTCCAAGTTCTTATCCTTTGTTATGTACAAATGGCATATCAAAATTTTCACATAATGACCATCATTATTCTAAGTCAACATTTTTTTTTCCCATTTTACCAAGGAAAGTGCAAGAGTTACAGTTACAATGTGACTTTATATAGGAAGCAGATTTTCTTTCCAAGAGGTTAAGACTTTAGCAATTTTAATAACTACTGTAATAGTAAAATACTTTTTGCTATTTTAGAAAGGCACCACAAGCTTCACATTGCCAAATTTATATGGTAGATATTAAAAAATCATCTCTATGTGGGTTATATTTAATTCAGATTTCTATACATTCTGACAGTCATTTATAAGTGGGATTATAAACAAAATAATAGGACTGAAATATTTGTCATCTACTCTCTCCAAATTCCTAGATACATTCATTCACTTATCAATGTAACATGGTGTTAAGAGCATAACTTCTTAAGCCAGATCATGAAGGTTCAAGTCCTGACTATGGTTATGTAAATCTGGACAAATTACTTAACTGCTCTATGCCTTAATTTCTTTACCTGTAAAATAGAGATAAAAATAGTACTTACCTCAAAGAAATTTGTGAGAATTGAGTCAATGAATTTAAAGATCCTGGCACTTAAGAAATGTTACTATTTTTATTAATATACATGTTTTTGAAGCTAAGAACACAAATACAAAAGTGACAGAATTCCTGCCCTCCAGGTGACTTAGGAAACATTCTCAAAAATCAATTAAGTTTGCAGTGAACCTAAAACTGCTTTAACAGTAAAGTCTACTTTTTAAAAATCAACTAAGGAGCAACTTTACTAGCCTCAATGGAAAGAAGAAATTTGTCCAATAATTGAGGCACACAGTGAAGGACTTTCAGAATGTTTTAAAATGGTAACAGAATTCTAATTGCTGTAAGTTTGAGCCACATGGAAGCATACAGGGCCAAAGTATCTTTTCTTTGTTTCTGGGCAGTTCAGGGAGATTTCTCTCTTTGGAAAACAATTGCTGGTTCAGAGTCTTGAAAGACTGGTATACATCATCATCCTTTTGAAATAGAAAATTTTTCTGGCCTAATAGCCATGATCTTTTGCCCAAAAGCCTATCATTCAATATGATAATGAGATCCATAAGTCTGAATGTTTTATTCTAATTATTTTTATAATGAAATTGGAAAGAAAAACCAAAGCTATTTTTAGTGTTTATTTTGTGTCAAATGTGTCTAAATGAACTAAGCAGGTGTTCAAAGATGTGTATGTTTTCCAATATTTAGGTTTGTAAATGTTCATTTAGGTCTAATGTGAAAACAGAATGATTTATTCTTTCTTTTTCTGAGCTGATGAATCACTTAAAAGTTTTTTGCCGTGGCCAGGTGTGGTGGCTTATGCCTGTAATCCCAGCACTTTGGGAGGCCGAGGGGGGCAGACCACGAGGTCAGGAGATCAAGACCATCCTGGCCAACATGGTGAAACCCCATCTCTACTAAAAATACACACACACACAAAAATTAGCTGGGCATGGTGGCACATGCCTGTAATCCCAGCTTCTCGGGAGGCTGAAGCAGGAGAAATGCTTGAACCCAGGAGGCAGAGATGGCAGTAAGCCGAGGGGATGCCATTGCACTACAGCCTGGGTGACAGTGCGAGACTCCATCTCAAAAAAGAAAAAAAAAAGGTTTTGGCCAAGACAGTCTTATATTTTTCAGGTGTCTTTTACTCATTCAAAAAATATTTATTTGAGGCTCACAATGTACCCAGCAACATGCTAGATACTAATATCCACTGGTAAGTTGCCTCAGTTTTCTTAATGATGAGAAAACTGAACAAAGGAAATTAACCCCGTTGTATCCTTGCTCCATTACATGCAGCATTTTGGACCGCGGAAGCTAGCTTGAATTTAAACTAATAATCACTCATTCTTTATCTATTTCTAGAGAATTATTAGATGACTGTCTCCTCTAATGATCCACATAATGTATTGATTTTGTCTATTTTACTTAGTTATGTCTGTTTTTCTATTTTGAGGGTGAGCCCGGGTTGCCTGGAGCAGTAGGACAGGGTGGAATACCAGGACCAAAGGTTAGTACAAGTAAAGCCAAGCAGAATCATTTGACACATGAATTGTCGGGAAATCGTAAGCTATTATTTAATACAATATTTTTTAACAGTCTCACCAGTTGTATTTAAATGGGTATTTTGTGAATAGTATAATTAATATGCTACAGTATAGAACTTTGTTACTAATGAATTAATTATATTTGTGATTCTCATTAGCATTAAAATGCAGAAAAATAAATGGGATGTAATTGCCTAACATCTTTATTCTAAGATACTTAACATGAGTAGGCCTGTGCTTCAAATATGACTGTTGTCATTTTACCACTTAATGGATATATAAAAACATAGGTCATGTCCATATTACCTAAAATTTTATTTACATGCCTTACTAAAGATGACATTCACTCTGGCTTTTCCCCAAGATTTGGCCACCTCCAACTCTTACACAACATAACCAGTTAATCACATGAAGGCAGAATAAAGATGTTTAAAATTTAAAAATGGATGTAGTCTGAATTACTAAATAGGGAAAAAATGTAACGAAGATTTTTTTATTCCAAGTTTTGTTTCTTAAAAAAAATTGAATCAGTTAAATATAAAAAGATCGATGACAATTTAGTTTGAACCAAGCAGGCAGCCAAATCCCAGATCCTTTGATGAGTGAACATCCCTTGAAGTACAAAACTAATGTCTAATCCCATCAGCTGTGCTGGTGTGTATTCGTACCCACAGATGCCTGTCAGCTGATTTTACAGATCATTTGCTATTGACAGGCGCCTAGGACAGACCTTAAATTTATAGAACTATCCTTTGTCTTGCAGGAGAGGAAAGAAAATATTCCTTCTGGGACTATTGCTGTTTTCCTGTCTTCTCTCTCTTTCTCCATGCTAAAAAGCCAAACAATAGGAGTTAATGCTTAATGCATGTTCACAGTGCTATTCTTGTGTTGCCTAGCGACCATCAGGATGGGTGTTGAGCAGTGAAGGTGACCAGAAATACAGAAAGCCAAAGGGTCAGGTTGAGTTCCAGAGAAAAGAGTCTTGCTTCCAAACTAACTTCTGCAGTGGGTTATACATTTTTAAAAATACAATAATCACCTTATTTCATTTTTTTTTCAAACCAGTCTGATCTCATGGCAACATTTACTCAAGATTTTCATAGGAAATTATTATCATAATGTATATGATTCTCCTACTCGCCTGCTCCAACCTCTGTCCTTTCCTGGGCAAAGTGAAAATGAGATTCTCTTCAGGGCACCATTTGGCATTTTAGTCCTCATGCTATCCAGGTCATTTTGAGTAAGGACATCATTCCAAAACTCACTTCAGTTCTGCCCCATTCTGGTGTCTTTCCTCAAGGTGCTTCCTGAAATATAACTGATCTGGAACATGCTGGTTACCAGAAGCTAAAGAGAGTTCATGACATTGTAAAGAGGTTCAAGATTAGGACTGCTTATGATCATGTTAGGGCAAGACAGATTGGGTAACTACCCTGGCACCCTAGACCCTTGAAATCTATAAACCAGGCGATGCTTTGAATAAATGGATTTTTATAAAAACATGCTTGTCCACCTTATTAATTCTGAGTTTTAACAGAACGAAAAATTGTAGGCTAAGAAGCCTCTCAAGATATTGAATTGCCACACCATTATTCTCCTTAGTGCCCCAAAAGCCAGTTTCTGGATGATAATCTTAAAATACATTTCTTTAGTGCTATATGCTATAAAAGCAAAAAATTAAGACTACATTTGGTAATTGATATTCATACTCAAATTCTCCAGGAAACTTATTTTATCATTTGTTTTCATTAGCAACTGAATGTAGCCAAAATAGAAAATGTCATGCATAATTTACCTAGTAAGTTCAATATCTGTTTTCTTTAATAATAAAATTAGATGTTTTATGCTTTGATGTCACTACATCTCTGTCCTTTTGCTCAGGGAGAACCTGGAGAACAAGGTGAAAAGGTAAGAATGATTTTGCCTGTATTTCTCTCCTCCTACTCCCCACCACTAGCACAACAAAGAAGTACTCAAACTAAAGTGTATGCATGAATGGATGTGCGGATGGATGGATGGATGGGTGAGTAGATTAATAGATAGGTGGGTAGGTAGATAGATATACATAGATAGATATATAGATATAGTTATAGATATAGATATATAGTGACCTCTGTGTTTTTTTTAAACTGTTAATTAGTGGAAGGAAGAAATTGTGTGATTCTTATGTATAGACAAAAATCTGGGTAAAGTTTTAAAACATAAAGAGAAAGGTGCTGATATACTTTCAGAACAAATATTTAAAAATGAAGAGAAATGGAACAATTTAAACATTTTATGTCTGGTTTTTAAATGGGCTTAAACATTCCTGTGGCGTGCAAAATCTGGCCTGCCCTACTTGCTAAGCAATTCTAATTCTTTTCCAAGTACCCGCATCTCTCTCTACTGCTTCTAATGTCACTAGGTTAAGAGGATACAGATGTTTACCTGCAGCAATTATCTGAAGGTTGCCCACAAAGAATTCCCATAAAAACCAAAAAGAGAAACAGGAAAAGCAGAGTGTTAAATTATTCTTAGACTGTTTTTCTCACTTGGGCGTGTCCTGATTATTTTTAGGCTCTCATTGCAGATTATGATACTTACTTTCCTGGTTCTCATGCTACTTATTTTAATAGTGTTTGAAAAATATGCTAAGTAGGAAACTACCAAAATACTACATCATGCTCTTCATAAGTGATATGATCTTTCTGACAAATCAGAATTATAACCTCTAATCTCAAAAGAAGTTTATCTAAAGATCAAGGAAAATTTTTGATTATGACTGTATTTTTCAGCATTATAAAGAAAACAAAAAAAAAAGGAGAGCAAAATATGTGGGTGGAAACGGCAGTTCCCTGAGGCGGCAGCTCAGTTAAACCCTTTACTTTGCAACCATTCTGAACCAGTTTCCCTGCTAAGAAGGGTTGTTTGTTTGTTTTGTTCTTTAATAAAGGGATTTTTGAGCAATTTTATAAAAAGCCTGCAAATCAACTACCTTTCAAAGGTCCCTCTTAGCACATTACTAGGACATTTATTTAGTATCCAATCAGTTCATGGTAATTAACTTGAAATTAATTAGTCACTGGATGCCTCTTTTGTATAGAAATTAGGAGGGAAAAGGAACAATAGCAGCACCATACCAGGCGTTCATCAGAGAAAGTGTCCCAGGCTCTTGTGGCCTGCTGTGATGTATTTGTCACCATATGCCCAAGCAAACTAACTTCATGCTTATTTGAAAGAATAAAACAAAATACAGAGAAAAAAAGTGAAAGTTACCCTCCCCGACTTTCTTTCTCCCCTCTCCCAAGAAAGTTATTATCAATAGTTTCTGTCCTATTTTGAGAAACTTTTTGAGTAATAGGAAAGTGACTGCATTCCAGCCTATGGAATATGTGAATAGTAATGCATTGTTATCATTAATGGCTTATGATGTACCAGATACTGTCCTATTTGCTTTCCACACAGTGTAGAACTCATTTCTTATAACTGTGTAAATTATCCTTGCCCTTATATTACACAGGACAAACTTGATGCAAAGAGAATTTCATTTGCCCAGTAGGTGCTGGAACTGGACTGTGTCCTTGGCTCAAAGTCCGTAACATTTCCACATAACATATTTTAAAACTAAATTGAATTCAGAATTTAAGGAAGAAAGCCTGGATAATAAACAAATGCTTTATTTCCATAAAGCATTGATTTGTGGGTAGAAAGGAGATGTCAGTGGGGGAATAGCATAGGAAGTCTCAAAAATAACAACAAAAAAGCATCAACTATAATTTTTAAACATTTTTCTAGTAAAGCATAAAACATTCATTCCATACATGCAAACCATGTAGGCCCAGATAAATACTCAGTCTACAGGTTTTGAGGGCCTGTCATGTACTTTGAGGCCCTGGAGATTTGAGATATGCTTGAAGACAGGGCAGGATTTACACAGATGGAAAGGGAAAGAGAGGACAGGGATCCAGGCAACAGGAATGGTGCGACCAAGGACACAGAGTGTTAAGGCCCATGGCTTTACCGTAGTCAGGGAACTGTCAGGAGAAAGCCTTTGTTTGAGTGGAGCTTTGAGCAGAGATAGAATTAAAGAGGTTTTAAGTGCCCCAATAAGATATTGGAAGACAGATAAGTAATTATTTTCAGTTAATACTGTGGAATAGTTTAAAACTGTTCAGCCATGTTCATTGAAATAAAATTTCTTTTATTAATATCAGACAACTGGTCAAGTATAAGTATATTAAGGAAAGCTTAAAATAATGAAAAATACTCTTTGCTTAATGTCACCAATGTATTTTACATGTGTCACTTTCTCCCCTCCTCAGGGAGACGCTGGAGAGAATGGCCCCAAAGGTGACACAGGCGAAAAGGTACAGTTTTGTAAGCTATGAAAGGGTACATATTTGAGCAATAAGTATTTTTTTCTTTCTTTTTCTTTCTTTTTCATTTCATTTCTTGAACAATAAGTATTATTTCAAGTTTATGAAAATGAGTGAGAATTGCTTAACATGAAAAGGCCAGAGATCATTCTCCAAGATTAGAAAACATTTAAATATTTGATTTATAAAAGATGGTTATTCCACAAGCTCCTATCCATAAATAAAAATATTTTGGAAGTAAAATGATATATCAAAAATTCTAGAAAATGTGTAGCTAAGTTTTTAGTAGTGTGGCTTTCAAGGAATGAAAACACTTATTGAAGTATACATGGGACACTCCCTTCATATGCAGGGATATGAAAATAGAGGTCCTAAAGTGAATCAGTTTGTACCAGTTTTAGGAGAGAACATGTCAAAGGATTGGAATGAGATTTGAAAGTTTGATTAGAGCCATAAGAATAATATAATGGACTTTGGAAACTTGGGGAAAGGGTGGGAGGGGGTGAGGATAAAAGACTACACATTGAGTCCAGTGTGCACTGCTTGGGTGATGGGTGCACCAAAATCTCAGAAATCACCACTAGAGAATTTAGCCATGTAACCAAATACCACCTGTTCTCCAAATTACTATTGAAATAATAATTTTAAAAAGAACAGGAAAAGTTTGATTATAAGTTAATGTCACTTGATTACACACTCTAATATAGTCTTGAAAATTTACCTAAATTCAAATTCCACTGAATCTGGATATTTTGTCAGGCTTTGTATTCTATCCTGGGGCAGAGGGTCTTTTAAACCATTACTAGCTTTTATACTGCAGTAGTCTTGTGTCTCATCTTCTGCCTCCTCTCTTCTTACTTTTCCTCAGTCTATCATAGCTTTTGCTTGGATTCATGCTTGATAGATACCTCTGACAGAGGAAGGATGTTTTACTTCACTTGTGCTATGGGTTAAGGATTAAGTAGATCTTTTAAGAAATTTAAAATAGAATAAAGTCAGATGGGTTTTAATTTAAATCAAGCTGAGTAATTTAGTGATGAAGAATTATTTAGTCTTACGCTTGAGACTAAGACCATTCCACTTTGAAAATGATTAAAGTACAGATGGATAATGGTTGGTCATAAAAGAACATAGCCACAAAATAAAAAGAAATCTATCTTTCTTCTTCCCATAAATATTAATATAAATATGGCACGTGTGATAGGAATGAATGGATGTCACCAAGTAGCGCTTGTATTTATATTCAGGGAGTCTAGAAATTAGAGTGAACTCTCAGTTTCTTATAGATCTGTGTTTGTCAACCTCAGCACTATTGACATTTGGGGCCAGATAATTCTCTGTTATGGGACTGTCAGATGTTTAGCATCATTTTCGGCCTCTACCCACGAGACGCCTATAGCACCTTCGAGTTGTGACAATCAAATATGTCTTCAGACATTGTCAAATGTTACCTGGGGGGACAAAGCCACCCACAGTTGAGTTTCACTGCTGTAGTCCCATTTTATTTATCTGCCAAATTTAAGTGTCATTCTTCAATCAACTATGGCATGAATCTGTTTAATACAAATGAGGCCAATGATATACCCTGATTACTCTCAAAGTCCAAATTTGAAACCCTAAGAATATAAACCTGGGTGTTATATCTAACTTGCTTGCTTTTGCTTAAAAGCAGAAGTCAGTAAAATGCCAGAACATAAATATTTTAGATTGTGTGGGCCATGTGGTCTCTGTCACAGCTATGCAACTCTGTTGTTACGGCGTGAAAGCAACCACAGACAATACATAAACAAGTAAGTAGGCTGTGTTCCAATAAAACTTTATTTCTGGACACTGAAATTTTAATTTCATGTAATTTTCATGTGTCATGAAATATTATTGTTATTTTGATTTTTTAAAACCATTTTTGGCTCTTGGGTCTTGCAGGTGGCCAACTGAATTTGGCCATAGTTAACCAACTATTTGCCCTCTGTGTAGAATATTTCCTTTCTTTCCACTTAAAAGAAAGGAAATATTCTACACAGAGGGCAATTTTTTTCAAGTGAAAAAAAATTTATACTATGTCTGAACTATGCCTATGTGGCTTTGTGTAGAGAATTTTATGATTAAAATATGTCTTTTTAAAGCTTCATTTTTGGAATGTAGGCCAATAATTGTTTCTTTAATCACCTTGTAAAGTTAAATATTTTGAAATTTAATTTTACAATGGTAAAAGAGCTTTTTTTCTTTGAAAAGAGCAAGGTCATCTCAAAGGAATACTGTTCTTATTTTATATATTAATGCAAATCATTTACCATACGACTCACACATAATAAACTCTCAATAAATATTAGCTTTTCTTCCCACATGGAAACTGAAATCAACTAGATTGTTTTTCTTTTTTTATCAAAAAATTTTATTAGTCAGCTGAAATTAAGTATAAGAAATGCTTCAGTTAAAACGGAAATCATTTCTATAAACCTTTAATGTGTCTAAACAGGGGATTGTAAATAGGAATCTGTGATGTGTATAATATGTAATCCGACCTGTAGCATTTATCCCAAAAATGCTGTAATTGGAATATAATTTTTGATGTGTTTTTTAAACATTTCCTGCTTCTGTCATATAATTTGTTTCCAGCATGTTGGAAACACTCTTCTCATGGCTTTTGTGTTCAGTATGTGAAACTCATTCATCATTTACCGCATTTGAGATGTAAAATGTTTTTTAAAAATGCTTCTTTTACTGCCATTGATGTAGTAAATTACGTCATTGATTGACTTTATAGGATTTTTTTTCCTTTTGATTCACCTCAGCGCCTTTGGATGGTAAAGTAATCTAAACCTTTCCAGACTGGTCATCTGGAAATACTGTGGAACTATAAAAACCACTAGGCTGGGTTTTCTCTGGCCAGCAGCTTCAGCACATTCTGGCCAACCACCATGGTACACCCCAGGTTTTAAGAGCGTAAACCTGCCGAAGACAGAACTCAGTCATGTGTAGAGTTACTATCGAAGGGTATGCTCCACTCTTTGGAGTGTTAATCCCACCAACAAATGTAGAAATTGATTTCTTATCTGTTTTCACCTGTGTGAAATGGGGTATTCGTGTGGCATACTAAATGGTTTGGCCACATCACTCTACTCTTCACAATTCTGCCTGTTGATTCAAAAACTCTGCTTTCACTTTCTTAGCATGATCTGTTTTTGTTTTTGTTTTTTTCTCCCCTCTTCCCCATTTCCATTCCTGTGTATATTCACACTATCTTCATCTTCATACTTTACATCTACATAGCAAAGACGAATGCATGAAACATGAAGTATGAAAATGCATCTCTGACTTGCCTCCTCTGAACCTTTTCAGAAGGCACATCGTATTTGGAGCCAACCAAACTGTCTTCTTTTTATAAAATCACACATGACAGGCTATCTCAGTGGGCACTCCCACCCCAATCAGTGCTGAGCCTTCTCTAATTAGCACATGTCATTCCCGTAATTTAGAACACTGTTGCTGTCTGTCCTCCTTCCACTGACTCTTCATCGCCACTTTTCCACTTTCTAATCTTACTCATTCCGCAGTCCGCTGTAAACTTAATTTATAAGTCATTTCCTTAGAAGAGCCTTCAGTCGCCTCTAGACTGGGTAGGTCACCTGTTATATGCTTCCACCACACTCTTTATAATTCCTTTGATAGTCATGCATTCGCTTGTCATGTCTTCTGTGCATGCATAGTGACCCAGAATTTTCCAAACATGACAATCTCTACCTACACCAGATTTCAAAAAAAAAAAGGAAAGAAAGAAAAATTATCTTTCATGCCTTCCATCAATAATAAATTATTGATGGAAATTTATGATCTTTCATGCTTTCCATCAATAATATTTTTGCACTATATATATTGGAAAATAATCATTTTAATGCAGGATAAGGACTGTGATTGTAATTGCATTGTTCATTGTTATCTCCCAGCTCTCAGCATCTATTAATAGTATGTCTGGCACATAATTAGTGGTCAATAAATATTTGTTGAATGAATTAATGAATGATAAAAATAAGTCCCTACACTCACTTTATATATCCACATGTGCCTTATTAACACATACATATAATTATCTACTGAGTGTTGTTTTGAAAATAATCACAAACAAAAGTGGAAACTTTGCATGAATGAAAAATAGTAAAGTCAAATTCATTTATCTCAAGTATCTTCTCATAGTATTTCCTCATCTATAACTTAACTTGCCCTGTAGAAGTTTTTATTTCCAAGCCAAATGACTGCTAAAGTTGAGTATACTTAAGACATAGCTGGGGATTTTTCCCCCTCCTTTAATCCAGTATTCATTTTCACTTTTGGGGGAAGGGGGATTATAAACACACACTGTTTTATTTCCACTACTTGTAGCATTATCCTTTAAAATGTTTAACTTATGATTGTCTTCCAGAAGTCATGTTACCACTGAAAAGTTATAAAAATTCCTTGAGATTTCACAGTTCTAAGTCTTTAAAAAAGAAAAATAAAATCACTCTTAGTTGTCCATCAAATGAAATGTCTCAGATTTCCACAAATATGTTGGCCTTTCAAGAAACTGTCTTTTTCTTTCCATTCACTTTTTATGAGAACGAAATCTAGTCTTTACTCACATTAGAGATTATCTGAATGCTTTCCATTAAGATATTGAATTAAACTACAATTAATAGAAGCAACTTCCTTGTATTTACAAGTTTACTACAACCTTTATGCCCTGTTGTTGAAATGAAATAAGCCAACAATTCTTTTCTATTTAAAAAAGGAGAAAGAAAAAATAACATGACAGTAGAACTTAGGAAGCCCCAAATTCATTTAACCTCTAGCTGCTTTTATATCCTTGTTTATTAAGTGGAAATAGTAATGTCTGCCCCTTTATTTCATGAGAATTTAATGAGGTTTAAATGAGATAAAGTAGGAACTTTGCAAAGTCAAAATCGTTTTTATGAATTCAAAGATGTTATTGTATAAAATATTGTAAACCTGATTCATTGGTACTGATGACTTTCAGACTTAATTTAGTAGAAATAGAAATAAGTGTTCTTACTGGCCACATTTATGCTGCTTCCCATTTGGAACTCAATGAGATATTAATGATTGGCAAGATAAGTCAGTCTTATTCCACAGTTAAGACAGCATTAGGGTCCTCTTTATGTTTAATTACATTTTAATTTTCAAGAGGAGAAATAGCAATTATAGATGTAAAGAAACTCATGTAACTGTTTCTTTAACAAGCTAATTTGCTATTTCTTTCTTTTTTTCTAAGCTTCTTTTTCCTTTCCTAAAGAATTTTACATTTTGATCCTTTACAATTGACCTGTTTAAAAACTCTTTGAGATTTGATCATTCATTCACCATACGTGTATTGAGCATGTACTATGGGCCAGGGAACTGAATAAAAATAGATCCGGAATCTGCTCACATGAAGCTGACTGTATAATGAAGAGACATGCAATGAATAGGCAGGAAACATAAATAGGCAATTACAAAGCGAACTGCGGTGGACATGAACAGAGCATGATGCTACAGGGTTAAGATGTGTGCATGAGGGGCACGTGTCTGATATGTCTAGGCTGGTTGGTGAAGGGCTCTTTGAGGCAAAGCTGCTTAGGCAAGAAGTGAAGGGAGAAAGTGCCAGCCCTGGGCAGAGGAGAGAGAAATTGAGGGAGCGGGGCAAGTGGCCCGTGTACAGAGGCCTGAGTCCTTATGTCTGTCTCTAAAAGAGATTGATGAGCAGCTTCTGGAATCTAGAACAAGGAAATGGGCCCCCGGAGCTCCTTGAGCATTTGTACAGATGAGACAGCTGAGGAAATCCCAATATGTGCCTCCCTCCTATGGCTGTTTTTATTTTCTTGACAGTCTCAAATGGCCTTTCTTTTTCCTTCTAGCATATTCATGAGACAGACAGGGCTAGAAGGAACTTGAAATTCTAGGCCCTTTGCTGGCCTCATTTCAGAAATAAGCAACATTCCCAGCTACCCACCTTTTTCTTTTCTCCATTAGTTCCTATCTGCTTATTTATAACACATTTCCTTTAGAGAAGTAGTCACCCTCTATGAAATCTGGCTGGAATACAGTGCTTTTAAAATAACAGATTCTGACTCAAGACTTTCTCTCAGAGCTCACATGTGTCCCCCTCACCCACAAGTCATCCATCATCCTGTAACTTCCTGGTGACTGAGTTACAATGAAATAAGTGTAAAGCTGGAAAAAACGTGCCTGTTGTAACTGTGACGGTGCTTCACGAGGAAAACAAACTGATCTTTTGCGTGGCTTTTTCTAACTCGACATCATTAACCTCTGACTTCATCTGTTGAACCTTGACTCACTGAATAGCAAAAGGGTCAGGGAACTCCCAGTAAATGATAGCTAATGGCATTAATACATTCCAGGAATAGAGAAAGTCAAAAGTTCCATATCCCTAAATTATAATTTATTGCTTCACAATGTATTTTTAGCACTGTATCGAAAGAAGAAATTCATATTTATGTTTATTTCAGGGAATGTAGTCCTTATGTATCTGTAATCAAAGTAAACCCTTGTTTCTAGGAAATGCATTGTTTATCCTGTAAATTGTTGACATCTTAACAGCTGAGATATTGGTACGAAGTCTTATGGAGCATAGTTAGGTCCATTAGTCATGAGGTCCCTTTGAGTACCCGTGTTGGTAATGGCTCTCTGGGTGCTTGTGATGTTTCCTCTTCCCATAACTTGTGGCATAATCTTTCCTGGGTTTCATTTTAGGGCGACCCTGGATCATCTGCTGCAGGAATTAAGGTAACTATAACCTTGCAAGTATTTGTATTCTAGGAGTTACAGTACTGATTTTTATAGGCCTCTACTTTCTCTCCCTTTTTTAGCAACTTTGATGATTATAACTTTGTTTGTATTCTCCTGCAATAACTGGGCTTCCAAAAACAACAGGGAGTATCTGTGGGAAACTTGATGAAGGTTTAAATAAGAAGTCTTGCACTCTCTTCCCTTCCTGATTGGTTTTTATGGAAATGTGGATTTATATGTGATCTATAGGTATATTTACAGCAAAAACAAAAACAAAAAAATCCCTATGTCTTGTGAGATGTAGAGTCACAGGATAAAGGAAATAAAAGACATGTGGTGAAGAAGGGGGCTAGCCCATCCCTGTGATGGTGGTCAGAGGCCTCAGGGTTTTAGAAAATTCTTATAAGACTTCCCTTTTCATCTTTGATTTTTCTTTGATCAGGGAGAACCTGGAGAATCTGGTCGTCCAGGGCAAAAGGTAATATCTCTATCTCTAGTGTGATTTTACTGTCTCATATTCACCATTTTATATCTACCATCCACTGTGTAATATGAAAACAATTATTGCAAAATGATGTGGTTTTCATGTTTTGCATTACAGAGTGTTATTGGTTATTTTGCATTTTAAAAAGTCTTGATGATGACCATAGCACAATGTACAAACAAACTTTATACATGTAAAAGGATGCTTTGTGAAATAAAGTCTACACACACTTAGCTGTTTGAAACTAACAAAGATCAGGTGATTGGAATGCCAACAATTTATCTTTGCATGCTTCATGGTAATATGCATGTTTCTATCTTTTTAAAATAATTTTTTAATAGAAAAACTCTTTCTATAACTGGCTGTGTTGCTTTGATATTTCTGTCAGTAAACTGTCTCAATAGTGATGGACAATTCTTTATGAACTATATTCCTTTTCCTATCATTGCAAATGCTTCCATGCTAATAATTTTGTATGTGATTTACATCTACTTGTGCTATGGTATTGTTAAGCACACTAAATTTGTTAATGAACTAAATTTTAATTAGAGACACTAGCCATACCATTTTCTGGATACATTAGTTTTTGCTTTTTTCATTTGTTTGTCACTTTAGCAATAACTTAGAGGACATGCAGTGACCATGTTTCGATTCATACTCTCATTTGAGTCTGAAACAGGAAACACATGCTAGCAGTTTATTGTCTGAGCATTTGGATATCAATGCCCATACAATCAGATTTTAGACCACAGATGTAGCTGGCCAGTAAATGTGAATTCCACATTGGGTTAAACCTCTTAAGATCATGACTCTGCCTTTGTCTAGCAGTAGCTGATGTTGTAGATAAACGTATGAACAGAAAAATAAATTTACTCCATTGGCGGGAAAGGGAAAAGAGAATAAATCCCTTCTTGTATTTTGGAGCCTTAAGACATAGGAAAATAACGTTCCCACCTTCGTGAAGTCATTGAGAGGATAATTGCTTTGTTTTAAACACTTAGGATAGACATAATTTTTGAGAAGGTCTTTCACGTTCTTTTAACATTTCTTTAATTTAAAAACAGATTTTTCTCTTAAAACTGAGTCTGAGCAATGACTCATTAGGCCCAGTTTGAGGTAAAGTTGAGACTCTTTCAAAGAGCCTAGGAGAACTCTGCGAATTTTACTATTTATTTTCTAAGATTTCCTATCAATTCTTTATATCACTAATTCCAAATTTCTTAAATAAAGATCTGTGGTCTGCTTTGGTTTGAAAAAGCAACTGATCTTGTCAGACAATCTAATTTTAGTTCCCTTAGTCTTTCAAATTTAAAGGCTAAGTTTTTACTGCTCTGCAAATCCGTGATTTGCTAAAAAGTCTGCAAGACTGTTGTGTCTCTAAAAAATAAACCAAAACAAATCTGCTATAATCTTGTATAATTTTCACTGTTTTCAGAGTGGAATATTCAAATAGATTTTCAATTACTTAATAAAACATTGCCTTATCATAATGATTACTTAGAAATCCAGGTTAGATTCATTCTGGAAGTTTATAGATTTACACATGGGAACAGTGGATTTCCTTTGCATTGCATTAAAAACTAGTTTAAAACTATATTGAGAGAAGGGGTAGAATCCTTAAAAGCTTACAGTCTTCCTGAATGAATATGTGCCCTAAAATGAGCATCATCTTTTTCATTAATATTTAGGCCAGATTCCACCCTTTGATACAATCTCATATTCCCAACATTATTATGACTTCCTTTGTCTAATATTGGGAATAGGCTATACTAAGCCCAACACTGATTTAAAAGTAAAGTATGCCCATGCTTGCTGCTGACAGAGATTAGAGAAATAAACTGAACTGAGTACAGAATCACTTCAAGAGATCTTCCACAGCATTTTCCTCTCCATTGCAGAACTATTCTGGGGGTTCATTGGCACTTAGGGTCCTGTGTCAGACACTCCCAGAAAAGTATAGAATATTGTGACACAGCAAAAAGCTCATCAATTAACTTCCCACTGTGTGGTCTTTTACAGCATAAGGGTTTGATATCTAGAGTTATATTCATAATGTAGGAATAACTCCATTGAATTTTCTTTCTTTTATAGCCTCTGGAGTTTAGTATGTGATTGATGTGTGAGTTGGAGTGTATATATGTGCTCGTAGAGTGAGTGTGTAGATTTATAAAATAGGTATTGTGTTTCATCACCTAATTCTTTCTTTTATAACTTACCCACATCTTTTCAAAATAAACATTTTAATTTTAAAGGAGTAAAATTACTTGATCCCCTATCAGAATGGCCCTTCAGAGTTGAACTCTCTAAAACTATAGGGCACCTAGCAGGGACATGAGGTGAAGGCAGAGTCCTGATTTTGAGGGTCTGCTGTAATGGGGAGTGAAACGTGAAAGGAAAGAAAAAAAAAAAAGCAGAAGTGTAAACCTGAAGGTTAAACTTTACACAGGTAAGTCACACTTTTGATTTATTTTGATATCCCCTTTGAATGGGATAATGAACCAAATCCTAATTCTGACCGAGATCTGATCTCAGATTTTGGGCTGTGCATCCCCAAATTGAGTTCTTGAGAAAAGCTCCTGAGCCAAGGAATAGGCAAGAATGGAGAAGTTACTGAAAAACTATCGCCTAGTTCAGCAGTGTCCAATCTTTTGTCTTACCTGGGCCACTTTGGAAGAAGGAGACTTGTCTATGGCCAAACATAAAATACATTAGCACTAGCAATAGCTGATGAGCTAAAAACAAAAAACAAAAAAACTCATAATGTTTTAAGGAAGTTTACAAATTTGTGTTGGGCCACATTCAAAGCCATCCTGGGCTGCATGTGGCACATGGGCTTTGGGTTGGACACACTTATCCTAGTTAGAAGATAACCTTTTGTGGTATAAAGACAGAGAATTTATATGGGAAAAAATGTCTTCCTAAAAATGTTAAGCGATGTTCCACAAAGGGCAACATTACATGTATTATAATCTTTCTTCATGTCAACTAATAAACATACATTTGGAAAGGTCAATTATGAAATATAAAAACTATAAGAAATAGGGATTTCTAAAGTATCTGTTCACTAAAAAATATGTTTATTATCTAACACATATACATAGTACACATATGATGTAGAGAAAAGTTAAATGCTCAATATCTCTAAGTAGTCAATCTACATTATAAAATATCCCGTAATGTCTTACACATCTTTTTCTTGATTAGAAAACTGGATGTGTGTTTATGTATCTGTGCATGTTTAAATAAATATCTTTTTTTAAAGTAGTCATCCAATCCTTTCATTTGGTGGAAGGGAAAGATGTGATGAGAACACCTGTTGGACAATAACGTAACAACCTATGTATTTCCACAAATGTTTCAGATAGGATGTCTGCAAAAATGAGTGTGGGGGGACTTTTATGAAGCAATACAAAGCATATATTTGCCATCAGTATGTTTGTTTTTATTAGGTGTATATTCTATTGAGATTTACTGTTTTCAAGGGCCATAACATAAAAGAGAATTTTAAGCAAAAAATGTATACAAGTTCTTTTTACTGGATCTTCTTAAACTCACTGATTGAAAAGTAAAAGAGAAAGTAAAAGAAGATCAAATATGTAAGGTTTTATCTGTGTGAAGTTTAATCTACTTAGACATTCTTTGAACAGATTAACAAACATATTCTTGATAATCAGCCTTTCTCCTCTAGCTTAATCTCATTTTAGTCTTATTACTCACAGTGCAAACTTTCATTTATATAGTTGTAGACAGAATCGTTTTTCTTTTACATTCCTGAAGTAACTTTGACCTAAACCATCAAGAAATCCATTGTCCTTTTTTGATCTAATCACGCAGCTTAACAAGCAGTATCAGACATCACTTTGTGATAATACCAGAACAAACTATGGTGCTTCATAATTTGAAAGTAATAATACTTAAGATGAAACTTCTGGTTGGACTTGGTGGATATTCCTTGAAATGAGGATTGTTAAGGCATTTAGATGAAAGGAAATGCTTTCTTTTGTCACTTCACTGTTCGTTTAATGCTTCTGTATCTTTTAATACAATTGTCATTCCACTAACTGGCCATCATGAAATAGTATCACCCTTTTGCCTTCAAATGTTATTTCCACAAAAAATAGTCAGTTCTGTCCAACAGAAAAGACTTTTATTTTCTCCTGAGATTCCTTTATACTTCTTTAGTAGAATTCGGGAGATTTTCTAAGCAATAGAACCTCTTGTTATCATACTTTGGGCTTAAAATAATGTAGACAACTCTGTGAAAATGAGAAGGTTAAGCTTGACTCCGATATGCTCACCCAAAATGTACTACTTAATCTCAAACCTGTATTCAGCAACAGCTGCATGGTACCATTAGCCCTAAGCTGCTAAGCAGGGTTGCTCAGACTCAACAATTGTCAGAATACAAACTGGAGTTAGGTTTAATCTTAAGTATTCATTTATCTTTTCATAATTCAGGAATGAAAAGGAAAGCTTACTATGCTTTTTAAGTGAGAAAGACTTTTAATGAATATTGTTTTGATGTGACCATCTGTTCATACAGCCAACTCTTGATTATCTAAGGTGAGAGAATACTGGGATAGGATGCATTGTTGAAATGCACACATTATCCTCATTTGGGCAAATAGATTCAGCCTCCCCAACAAATCACTTAATAAAGAAATAATAAAATCTGGGAGTTTCTCCTTTTTTTACTCCTTTTTCTCGCCATCTGACAGAGATACCAATGTGCAGTGAACTGAAAGGAGGAGAGAAAGTCTTGAAAAGTCTGTGAAGTGGTCAACCCATTTCTAAATCAAGAGTTGACTGAACTGTAGAATCTCACCAAACTTTCTGAAAGTAGACAGTTTTTATATTTATCTTTGTAGAAAGTATTGAGCTAGGAACAAATTTGCCATGTTTTTCTCCAGATACTGTGACTGAGTGAATATCATTCTATAATGCTGTATGATTTTCCTGTGTAGGGTGAACCAGGGCTTCCTGGGCTTCCTGGACTTCCGGGGATAAAGGTAAATACTGCACGGACAGTCTTGGCTTCATAGAACTGTAATTATGAGATTCACCCAAATTAGAGCAAAATAGGGAAAACAATGGAAACTAAAAATACAATGCTGTTCTCTAGGTACTCTCCAGCCATCTCAACTAACTAAATTTTTTAATTAAAAATTAAGCACAGATACCTCTAAAGTTTGTGATGGCTATATGGATTGTTTATTTCTCCATTTAACTTATTGCGCCTTAAATAAAGGTAAATGTCACTTCATTTGAAGTCATAGAAATTCTTTAAAGTCTAAAATGTCTCTTTACCTTCACATTTTAATTTTATTCTTAAGACCCTATCAGATTTTGACCAGAATTAGAGTCTTAACAACCCCATAAATCTAACATTTAGGCAGCTGTTTTTGTGATTCACTCATTAAAATAATACCTCTAAAACATTTATCTTCTACTTCCTCTCAATAATTATCCCTTCAAAGTACAAATCATATTACTAAAATATTTTGACCCAACACATACACATAAAAGTCTCCATAAACTTTCTAAGTATCTTTTGAAATAATTGCTTAAAGCTTAGTTTGGAAACATTTGTTTTAAATTGGTGTAAATCACTTAAAAATATTAAAAGCATTTAAAAAAAATTGTTTAAAAATTTTCACATGGCGGCCGGGCGCGGTGGCTCAAGCCTGTAATCCCAGCACTTTGGGAGGCCGAGGCGGGTGGATCACGAGGTCAAGAGATCGAGACCGTCCTGGTCAACATGGTGAAACCCCGTCTCTACTAAAAATACAAAACATTAGCTGGGCATGGTGGTGCGTGCCTGTAATCCCAGCTACTCAGGAGGCTGAGGCAGGAGAATTG